TTCCTGGTGCTGCTGTTCAGGTCAGCCCTTGGCCAGGACTGTTGGGCTGAGAAGACCCCACCAGGACCCGGAGCCTCTCACCAGCCCAGCACAGGCTCTCTAAGCTGTGGCTGCTGGGACAGCTCCCCAGAGTCAGAGTGCGCCCCTGCACCCCCGCGGCAGGAGGACAGCCAGAAGGCTTCCCTGCCCACTCTCTCGCTTGCATCTCGCCTGTCAACACAGAAGAGAGGTGCAGAACAGCCTTTGGTGAGACGGCCGGTGGCGCCGCTGTCTCGGGAGGAAGCCGCTTTCATTGTCTGAAGAGCAGTTCACCAGGGGCAAGAGAAACCATCTGATTTCGGTCCGGTCCTCTGCCTTCCTGGGGCAGGGCTCGCCGGTGAGGGAGGACCTTCCTGCTCACTGGGAACCTCCGTGGTCCCCCCCCCAAGACACCCAGGTCCCAACAGTGGGGTTGGAGAAGACGTGGTGAGGCCCCTGACCTTGTGGCTTACGTGCAGCAGATGATAAAGGCCCCATGAAGACACGTGCGCTCAGTGAGAGGGCTGGAGAAGGCTGCGTCTACTGGAGGGATGGGCTGAGGAGGAAACCAGGGAGTGGGGGACCCTCAGGGGTCGGGGGGTGACAGGAAGCCCTGCCTGCTGGGGCCTGCACCCTCACCTCCACCCAAGGGGGCCCTGTCCTGTGAAGCTGTCCCAACGCCTGGCCTCAGAGGGCTTGCGGTCCAGCAGGCAGCACGGGGAAGGTGTGGCAGAGGTGAAGAGCGGCGCGGCGGAGTGTGTGTGCGGGCGCAGGTAGAAGTGTGCGAGGCGTCAAGAGAGTGTGTGTATAGGTGACCAGCGAAGAGCGGAGTGCTGCGAAGACGAGCCCGGACGGGGCGAAGGCTGTGCGCGGGGCGGGGAATTAGGGGAGTTGTTTGTACTGAGCGGCCGGCGTTGTGAGGCGGCGGGGGTGTATGCGGGGAGCAGCAGGGCCTTGTGCGCAGGGGTAGAGGTAATGTGTGCAGAGCGGAAGCGAGAGTGTGCTTGCAGGAGTGGCGGGGCGGGTGTGTGGCTGTGTGTGCGAGGCAGGGTAGGGGGCCTGTGTGGGGGCGCGGAGACCTGTGTGGGCGCGAGTGGGAGGGTGTGCAGGCGCGGGGACCTGTGTGGGGCGCGGAGTCGAGGTGTCGGGGCGGTGGGGGGTGGTGTGCGGGGGGGTGGTGTGTGCGGGGTGGGGGGGGCGTGTGTGGGGGGCGGTGGGGGCCTGTGTGGGGGCCAGCGGTTAGGAGGGGTGTGCGGGGCGGCGGGGGCAGGCCCAGGGCCATGGCCTCCGGACCGGAAAGGCAGACTGACTTGGGCTAGGCTGTTTCCTTTTTTTTTTTTTTTTTTTTTTGCCTTTTTTCCTAAATCGAGGTGAGATTCACATAACCTGACAGCAACCACTGTCGAGTTAACAACTCCATGGCATTTAGCACATTCCGGGGCTGTGCGTCCGCGGAGACCAGCTCCCAAGCTGCCTTCATCCCCGCCCGCTGTCTCCCCTGCTTCCCAGTGCTCAGGAGTCTCCCGGCAGCGCCTCCTCCATGCCTTGTGCTAGGCCCCCTCTTTGTTTTCTGAGTGCTGGTTCCTTCCTTCCATCATAATCCGTGGTTGCATATCAGGGTGTTGGTTTCACTCCCATCCGTCCTAGAGAGAGGCTCCAGGAAAGCCCGGGCTGCTCCCAGGGCCCCCTTGTTAGGGCCCTGCTCTGTGCCAGCCTGAGGGGGCTGAGAGTGGAGCCGCTCAGCCAGCCCTTGCGATTGGGGGCTAAGCTGGGCCCACCAGCCTCACCCTGGGCCCTGGGTGCAGCCCCCAAACTTATAGTAGAAGCCAGGCCCAGTGTTTCACCAATTGGGGTTTTTGCCTGGTACCTCCAGCTTGGGGTTCAAATTGAGCCCATTGCCCCTTTATTTTACTAAAATAGTCCCGATCCTGTAGCCCCCAGGCTGCTCCGGGGGGCAGCCTCCTCCTACTGTAGGAAGTCAGCCCAGGAGCCCAGGGTGGTGCCTGCTGAGTCGTGGAGAAGAGCGAGGGGCCACAGTCCCCAGAGCCCAGGGGACGAGGGCTATGCACAGCAGAATGGCCCAGAACACTGGACAGGGCCTCACCCACCTGTCTACCCAGAGACTGAGGCCACATTCCAGCCAAAGTCCCACTCAGAACATCAGGCCTTGGCAGGTCCCTGGGGAGTTCACCTTGAACACCACCCCTCGGGGTCCTGAGGCAGCTCCGGGGAAAGCCACCTCTGCTTTGGTTCTGGAACCAGCTCCTAGAAGGTGTGCAGTTTGCAAGGCCAAGCCCAGCTGGCCCCACCCCCACCACCGGCTGCAGTGGGTGCAGTTCCACCCACCTGCAGGACAATGGGAGATGCAGGCAGGTGTTTGTGACTCTGCAAGGCCCTGCGTCTCCTGACGAGCTGGACCGGGCCCCTGGTCACTCCCCCACTGCCATTTCTTTCTTTAGAGCGGTTATTCCAGTGAATGGGTTCAAAGCCTGGGCCGGACCGCCCTGGGCCCTCCACCCCTTGGGGGGTCCCCATCCTGTCTAGGATCCTGCTGGGCAACAGGGCACTTCTATGGGCCTCAGATGCCAAGGACACCTGGCATCCTGGTGGCTCTTTTGGGCGTCACTGCTGTGACCACCGTGAAGCCCAGTGTGCTGATCCCGGCAGCTCGAGCCTCTGCCTGCTGGGCTGACCTTTGAGGCCTGTGTCCACACCAGGCACTGGGCTGTGTGGAGGGGACAGGGCTAGCTCCAGGAGGCCGGAAGGACCCAGCTTGCCCTGCAGTGAAACTGTCCCTCTTTGCTCAGAGATGTCCCTCCCAGCCTGAGCTGCTGACCTTGCCCACTCCTTAGCCTTGGTCCCCCCACCCACACTGTTCCTTGCAGCACACTGGGCTCTCCCTGAGCTGCTAACATAGGGTCTTTGCACCCATAGCTTCTCTGCCAGCACCCCTGTCTCTCTGCAGGGGCAGGTGAGCTCCAGCTCATCCCTAAGGCCCAACTCAGGACTTCAGGGAAGCTGTCTCTGAGCTCCGGTGGCTCTCCCAGCACCAGGCTCCCTCCTCAGGGCCCTTGATGCAGCTGAACTTACACTCCCCCGCCCCCCGGACGAGGAGGCACCACTTGCTGGAGGAGCCAGGAACCGGGTAGACACAGCAGAGGCCTCTGCGGGTTCCCTGAAGGGCCAGATTTTGGGCCCAGTTGGCCCAGAGGTTAAGTGGCCAGCAGGGCTGCAAGTGAGGCCCTCTGTCCTTCTGGGGTATGTGGGCGGGCGGCACCCCTGACTCCCAGGAGGGGCAGGAAGGCACCCGGCCTCCTTGAGAACAAGGTCACTGGCCCCTGCTCCTCTGGGTCTCCTGTTCTAGTAGCAGGTGGCAGGCTGGTTAAAAAAGAGACCCAGGTCTGCCACGGAGGAGGCAGAAGGTAGCGAAGGAAAAGGCTGGGCCAGGACTGCATCTCGTTGGAGCTGGCGGCTGAAGGGGAGCCTCCTGAGGTCTGGCTGCAGGGGAGAGGGCTCTGTGAGACCGGCTGGGTTCTCTCCCTGGGGTCCAGTGAGGGTGGGAGTGGCAGTGGAGGGGCCGTGAAGGTGGAGCCAGGAGGAACGAGGAGGGCTGGGCGGGAAGGGGAGTGTTCAGACTGAGGTCGGGCAGGTGGGCCCGTGAAGGCCACCCTACGTCCTGGGATAGGGAAGATGAGGACGAATGGGCTGCTGTGGCCATCCAGGTAGGGACAGGCAGTTGCTGCTGGGTTCTCAAGTGTCCAGGGAATCAGGGCCATACTGGGCTTGGGTCAATGATGCAGGGGTGGTCTCTATGGCTGGACAAGGTCGCTGGGGGCTGGAGGTCACTTGGGGTAACCATTGCTCAAAATCCACCCCTGGTTCCTGGTCCTGTCTTAACCTCTTGCATCTGGCCCCAGCTGCCTTGCCCTCCTCCACCTTCTTCTAGTGGCTCTGGAGCCTCGCTGCTCTCCTGGGCTTTCGCACCTCCTGGATGCTCTCTGCCCACCCTCCATCCCTCGAGATCCCCAGGGCAGAGCAGCTGCCTCTAGGAAAGGTGGAACCGTTGGAATCACAGGGTCCCAAGGCCAGACCTGCTGAATCCAAATCTCAGGCCACCAGTGTGCATGCTGGAGTCCACAATGGAGTCTGGGGGGCAGCCCCTGAGCCCAGCCCATCCTCTGCTCCAAGCTGCAGGTGCTAGGACCTGCTGGTGCCTGTGGAGCCGGCTCAGGATCTGGCCCTGGGAGGAAAGGGAGGCTCTTGGTCATCCAAAGGTGCTGTAGCGCAAGGGTGAGTGAGGGAGAAGAGCATCCCAGGGTGGCGGAGGTGGCAGGAAGGTCCCCACCATGAGAAGAGGGACGTGGCATGTGGGGCCCCTCTGGGCCGGGGGTGCAGACAGTGCAGCACAGGTGCCAGCAGAGCCCTTTCCTCCAGGTGCCCACAGTCAGGCCACGCTCCGCCTGTCCACCCTGGCGCACCCCAGTGGGATGAATGCCTCCCCCACGCCCTGTGCATAGGGTCCTCTGGGGCAGGGAGGACGCCCTGAGGTGTCCATGCTGCACCCCTGGCCTCCTGCCAGCCAGTTTCATGGCCGTGTGTCTGCCAGGGTTCAGGGAACTCGGAAGGGCTGGAGGGGAGGCCGGGTCCCAGGAATGCATCCCAGAGCAATCCAGAGCATCTTGCAAAGGACCCAGTGCCTCTGTGCAGTGGAGGGATGGGGAAGTGGGGCGTCGCCAGGGACTCGGGCTTCAATTCCCAAGTAACAATGAAGGGCCGGGAAGCCACCCTGCTGAGCGCCTGCCCAGACACTGGGCTCGGGGCACTGCCCTGCTGCTGCTAGAGCAGTGCCCCGAGCCCCCAGCAAGTGCAGCCAAACACTGTCCATTTCTGTGACCTTCGTGCTGGATACCCAGGAACACAGTCTCCGGAGAGAGAGAGAGCACTGGTGTCCCACCCCTCCTGCAGCTCACTCCCCTCCACCCCTGCAGCCTACCCATGCAAGCCCCGGGCTTCTCCAGGTACAGGGAGCTCACCTGGCTCCGGGCAGGGTGTGCCAGCAGGTGTGCAGGTGCACGGCCATCTGGAGGTGGCTGCTCTGTGACAGAATGGCCCCTGCTTTAGTGTCCATGGGGGAGGGTGTTTCCTGGTGCTTCTTACATACAAGCTGAAGGACAGAACAGGCAGCTGATGATCACATAAACCACCTCACTTCCAAAAACCCTGAGCACGTTTGCTTTTATTCTAATTCGCCTGACCAGGACCGGGACAGGAATGTCCGTCAGTTTCAAGTCCTGCTAATCTGCTCAAGCACTACTCTAATTGAAGCATGCATTTGCTTCAGAGACTCCTGAATTCCCCTAGGAAAGCAGCATCTGGGCGGGCCTGCAGCTCTGCCCCACTGAGAAGGTCTCACTTTCCTCAGTTTGTCTGGCCTGGGCCTGGTGTCATCTGGTAGACCCCGCTCCACTGGAGGCTGAGCCAGGACCCAGTGTGGTGGATCTGGCCGATGGCGCCAGCACACCTGCACCACGGGGGTCAAAGGGGACCCCGGCAGCTCAGATGCGGAGTGCATGGTGGGGTGGGTGGGGAGCGCTCACTGGCTTACAGACCAACCTGGCAGGCAGGCCCAGTGTGCTCCTGAGGGCAGAGCCAGGGTCTCCAAACCACTAGCCTCCCTTGTTTTGCTTTTCCCCTCGTCTCTGTGGTCCTGTGGTTAAAGTGAGGGCCGGGTGTCCTCATCTCGCAGCTGGAAGTCACTGAAGGCTGGTCTGGAGATAGAGACCTGCTCATCTGGCCCCACACTGCTCCCGGAAGGCCCCCTTCTCTGGGCAGCCTCTGCTCCCCCGGGGCCATCTTCTCCGGTGGACAGCAAGAGCTGAGGGGCACAGCAGAGCTGACCAGCCAGGGAGGCTACATCCCTGTCCCCAGGAGGAAGCACCATTGCAGATGCTGACCCGAAAGCAAGAGTGTTGTGACCCAGGCCCAGGAAGGCTGGGGTGAGGCCCTGCTGTCCAGGCCCTGCACGGCCTTAGGCTGGGGCAGTTCGTCCAGGGAGAACAGAGCAGGGACGGAGCTCGGGGGAGCGGCCTGCACGGTTGGATGTGGCTCCTTCCCTGCCACTTCTCAGCCTTGCTCTGGCCTGCCACAGTGGTGCCCACAGAGTCTTGGCGGAAAGAACAGAACATCCCACGGCCCTGAGCCAGGTCCCTGGAAGGATGGTGACCTGGGGCATCTGCTGTGCCCTGGGCCAGCTGGCATGGGCATGGAGCGGGCTGCATCACCCTCTGAGGAGGAGGTCGGCTCCCACAGGGCCTGGGACATCTGTGGGCGCCTCGTCAGGCGAGTTTGGGTCTCTTTCGCAGAAGAAAACTGGGTGAGTATTTTGGTTCTTGTCAGCGGTTGCAGAGCCCGTGCCTCCCTCTGCTCCTGAATTAGGGCAGTGCTGTTTTGGGTTCCGTATGCCCTCCCTCGGTTTAAACTGGATGCTCTAATCGTCTTCCTCTTTTGTCCTAAATTTCCCTCTAATGTTTTATGCAGCTGTAAAGCAGCTGCTGCCTCCTGCTCCAGAGAAGGCTGAGGGTCGGGCGGCTGCAGTGACTCACCTCCTCCTGGGAGACACTGCAGAGCCCCTTGGCCAAGTCAGGCTCAGGGGACAGCCAGTGCCCTTTGCAGGACACATGTGAGAGCTGGGCTTGGGAAAGCCTTCGGTAGCAGCTAGAGGTTCCCAGGTAGGACAGACGGAAGGACATCAAGGGGTCAGGTCCCAAACAGCAGGGCTGCCTTTCTGTGGGGTGGGGGTGTGTGTGTGTGTGTGTGTGTAGGGGGTAGTAGTTTTTTTTGTTTGTTTTTGAGATGGAGTCTCGCTCTGTCACCCAGGCTAGAAGGTAGTGGCACGATCTTGGCTCACTGCAACCTCCAACTCCCAGATTCAAGCGATTCTCCTGCCTCGGCCTCCCAAGTAGCTGGGATTATAGGAGCCTGCCACCACGCCCAGCTAATTTTTGTATTTTTAACAGAGACGGGGTTTCACCATGTTGTCCAGGCTGGTCTTGAACTCCTGACCTCAGGCGATTCACCCACCTTAGCCTCCCAAAGTGCTGGGATTACAGGCGTGAGCCACTGTGGCTGGCCTGGGGGTGGGGTTAGTTGTAAGTCAGCGAGAGGCAAGCACAGCTCCCGTGGGACATCCTGCCCAGAAGACACACTCGTGGAGGCCTTGGCTGGCCCTTGGCATAGTCATTCAGAAAGTGGGTGCTGAAGGCCTGCTATGCACGAAGCCCCGGGGACCCGTGGGACAGCAGCCTGTTCTTTTGTTTGTTCGTGTTAGGCTCAGAGCTCCCAGAGAGGGTCTAGCATCCTTCTACAGACCCACCCCTGAAGACACCCCCCACCCAGGATACATCCCTGAGAACAAGCCCCGGGAAAGGGTTTGGGCCACAGATGGCCTTGCTGCCCTGGCCCAAGGTCATCAGATCTGCCTCAGGCAGGGCCTGCAGCCAGCTCCTGGCACCCTCCCTTGAGGAGAGGGTCTGCCCAATCTTGGTGGCAGGAACAGGGCACCAGGCTCCAGTGCTGCTTCTGTGATCCCATGGCCCAGACCCAGGCCCCAACCCAGGCCCCGACCCAGGCCCTGGGAAGACAGTGACCCAGGAATCTGGAGCTCCCTGGCCCACCATGGCAGCCACACCACAGGTGACGTCGGGAGCCCTCCCCCGACTCCAGCCCCAGCCCTGGTTCCTCCTCCCTGAACTTCCCACCTGGGGACAGAATGCCAGCCTAGGGCTTCCCTTGGGAAGAGCCAGTCCAGCGCCTCACCCCGCCGCAGGCTGTAGGCCCAGCCTCCCTGGGTTCCTGCCCCCTTATCTCACAGGAAGAGCTGGGCCCAGAGAGGGGCAGATGGCCACACAGCCCCATGAGGGGCCGCGGAGCTGTACCTCTTCCTGCCAATCAGCCCAGCGACCCGTGACCCCAAGTGTGGGGACCGCAAAGGGAGTGCTTGCCCGTCCGCATTTGAAAACAGACATTTTCCCAGCAGGAACACGGGACTCACCTGCCAATGGCTACCCAGGCAGAGGCTTCCCTGTTCCTCAAGGGGCCAGAGTCCTTCCGTTCTTTGGGGGAACATCTGATGGAACACAGGAAGGAGCCGTGGATGTGGAGGGCGGCCGGGCCAGGACATAAAACACGACAGCAGAAAACACTCGGGCACACAGATGCCACACACCCACACGCACATACGTGCATACATACATGTACCAGGCACGCACCCCAGCCAGGTGAAGGAGGGTGAGGGTCAAACCAGGCTGCACTGAGCACCCGTGGTGGCTCAGCTCCGGTTGGCCCAGCTCCAGGCTGTGAGGAGAAGGGAGATGGCGGCATTCTTTAGGATGCTTTTATCCACTATGGGAGCAGGAAGACAGCCAGGGTTATCACAGCACAATTTGAAAAACATACAAATAATTCATGTCAGCATGATGTCAGGGTGTTGTAAATAATGAATCCACACTTAAAACCCAGATTGATAGCTTCAAAGGTCAGCTCCCACCCCTGGACAGGTAGGTAGGGCGCAGAGCCAGCCCCTCTTGGTTCTGAGAAGCAAACTCAGAAGAGTTCAGGTCAGGGGAGCCCCAGGACCACCCTTGCTGGGAGGGAATGGGTGGAGCACGGCCCACGCAGTGAGCAGGGCCAAGGGTCTAGCAGCACCCGAGTGTTGCCCAAAGGGGAGGGAGAGAGTACCAGCCTGCCTGTGCCTGCTGGGAAGAACTGGAAATCCACGTGCTCCCGTTCTGCAAATCCCTTCACCAGGGTGTCGGCCACCAGAGTAGGAAAAAACCTCTCCTGCCGTGAGAGCTGGGGGCAGGCCCAAGGTGTTAGGGGCTCCCGGGGGGACTGGCCGTGGCCACCGAGGTCAGGATGGCAGTCCTGGGCTTCGGTGGCCAGTCCTTGGCTGCAGACCCCAGTGAGGACAGGGACCTCACCACCCACTTTCCGGCATCTGAGGCAGCAGTGCCCCCGTTAAACCTGAGATGGCCGGGCGCGGTGGCTCATGCCTGCAATCCTAGCACTTTGGGAGGCCGAGGCGGGTGGATCACGAGGTCAGGAGATGGAGACCATCCTGGTTAACACAGTGAAACCTCGTCTCTACTAAAAATACAAAAAAATTAGCCAGGCATGGTGGCGGGCGCCTGTAGTCCCAGCTACTCGGGAGGCTGAGGCAGGAGAATGGCGTAAACCCGGGAGGCAGAGCTTGCAGTGAGCCGAGATCGTGCCACTGCACTCCAGCCTGGGCGACAGAGCAAGACTCCGTCTCAAAAAAAAAAAAACAAAAAAAAAAAACCTGAGGTGAACTTCTGTGGGTCTCTCAGGAAAGAGCCCCGCCCCAGCCTCTGGGCCCCCAGGACGATGGCCATCACTGAGTGGTGATGTCATGTCGCCCATCGGCCTCTTCTGCCTGTGGCCATACAACAGGCCCAGGCCTGTTCCATCCCGAGGGAGGTGGATCCTGACTGGAGCTGGCGAAGATTTATGGCCACACCCTGCCAAGGTGTGCCCGCTGGGACCTGGACCCAGCCTGTCACGGCCCCTCTCCCTGTGCCATCCGCCAGCCCAGGCTTGACTGATCTCCGTATGAATATTCATACAGCGTTCTGCCGGGACCGTCGTTAATATTCTGAGAAAGTGGCACGAATGCCCGTCCCTATATTGTGAGCCATGGTCACCGTGCTGCTGATACGATGGTGGCTGTGGATGTTTCGGATGCAACTGTCAGGCCTCCAGGCTTGGGAGGGTGGGGGCAGTACTGCTATCTCCAGGCCCCACCGGCACCCGTCCTCTGACCACAGACCTCCCAGCCACCCCACCTGCCCCTGGCCTTCACCTACCACTGTGTCCTTACCTGACCCAACCTCGACCAACGGCACCCTCCTCACCCCCCTCTTCTATCCTGCCCCTGCTTCTCCTGCTCTGCTCTGACCCCTCTTCCCTCCCTGCCCTGCATTTACCCCACACCCACAGCCCTCACAGGATGGGGACACCAAGGTCCTCACATAAACCAAGCCGCTTTACAGAGCCCACTTCCCAAACAGAGCTGGCACCCTCCTCCCCTGGGCCCTGGGGCTGGGTCAGCGCCTACCGGCTCCCCAGGCCTGCCCCAGGCCCTCAGCTAGAGGCAAACCCAAGCTCATGGGCGTGGCAAAGCCGGCAGGAGGGGCCTTGGCTGTGGCTCACTCCTGCACGGCCCTCCTGCTGCCCTGAGAACCCCTTGGCCCTGGCTGTTCCCATTGGTCGGGTGGGGCTCTGTGGGGCCCTGCCCCACCCGCCCCTTCCAGTCTCCGCCCAGGTCAGGACGGCAGGTGGCCCCAGCAGGGCTGGCCTGAGATGGAGGAACGCGGCCCCGACCTGGGCTATGGGGAGACTCTGGATGTGGCGGTGGATCCGCTGACAGGGCTTCGGATGTGATTATGTCCTGGGGGCTGATGGTAGCCTGAGAGCACCAAGACCCAGCTCTGCCTTCCGCCTCCCACGGGGCCTCTCCTCTGCAGTTGGCCGTACACGGACTACAGGGGAGGGGAAGCGGCCCCGCAGGGAGGGGGCGCCTGGCAGCCTGCCCGCCGCAGCAGCCTGCCACCCCGCCCCCAGGCGCAGTGCGGGCCACACACCTCGCGCCACAGCAGCCCTGCCAGAGGCCGTGTGACACAGCTGCCGGCATGCCTGGGCACGCTGCCCAGCTGGGCTGGGGGAGGGGCGCCGGGCCAGGAGCCGCTGAATCAGCTGCACCCGGACAGCCCCGCCTGGGCAAGGATGCTGGTGCGGCCGGGCGCTCTCTCTTTTGGGAACTGTCAGGAGGCGCGCCAGGCGGTGGGGTGGGGGGTTTCTGGACTGCGGCCTCTGCAGCCTGCTGCATGGGAAGTGCCGCTCACCCGGGCTGGGTGCAGGGCAGCCCCTGCCTCCGAGGGCATGAGAGGAGGCCTGCAGGGAGGGCCTGGGCAGAGAGGGGACCTTTCCTAAGGAGACCCATAAAGAAGAAGAGAAACGCACTGGCCTCTGCAGATCCAAGCACGTTTGTCTCCCCCGGAAAACGCTGAATCAGCACTCACAGCACTGCCAGGGCCCTCGCCCTCCTCCGATTGCACGCTGGAGGGGACAGGCCCTTCCAAGGTCACAGAGCATCAATATCACCATCGACGCAGCAGCACCGGGGTCATGCTCTGGTCCAGAGTGGGGGCCACGCCTGGCCCTGACGTCCTTCCCACTGGGGCTGTGTCTGGAGCCCAGCACCTTCCCCCTCAGCCCCTGCTGTCCTGTCCTGTTCCCTGGGGAGGGGCAGGAGGTGGAGGACATTCCTGTGTTTGTGCGTTTGGGGTGGTTTTGCCCGTGGAGGCTGCACACAGGGGCTCTGCCGGGGGCAGCCTTCTGAGGCCACCTGGTCCACCCTGCGCTGGGGACGGGACAGCACGTGGCCCATCTTGACCGAGCATCTCAGACCTTGAAATCCCCAGCACCACCCCCTTCCAGCCATTGCCTGCCCTCTGCTGGCTCCTTGGCTCGGATTCCGCTTTTCAGCAACAGAGAGAGACCCCCGGGCTGGTGCCCAAACTGGTGTCCCCATGTGGTGGACGACAGGGAAAGGGGGGCTCTGGGAGCCACTCGGCACAATCCCCCGGGCCAGGCACAGACTGAAAATCAGACCCCACTAAGTCAATAGCCCTGGCTGGCTTTGGTGGCTTCCTCCACACTCCGTGCCCGGCTGTGACTTCCTGGCTCAGCACTCTATTCAGCCTGAGATTGTGCCACTCCCCACCTCCAGATCTCCCTCCCACCTGTCTCCACCCAGGGGCCGCCCTCCCCAGAGCCCCTCTGACTCCTCCCTCCCCGGCCCACCCAGCTCCCCCTCAGCTTCGCCCCTGACTTGGGCTGGAGACCTTCTCTGTGGTCCAGGCTCGCCCACCCTCCCCCATCCTCCAGGCTGAACACTGAGCTCTGGTGCCAGGCTCCTCACTCCCAAACCCATGACTCTCAAACCCACTGCTGTCACTGGGGGCCTCTCATCCAGCCAGTGCTGGGCAGCTCTGATTCCAGAACCTTCCCAGTACGTTCCTGACCTCCAGGCCAGTCTGCAGCTACCTCCACTTCCCCTCGTCCCCAGAAGCAGCCAGCGGCCCTCCCTGCCCATACCTGTCCTTCCCAGCTCACCCAGGTCCGGCCGCCGCCCGAGTCCCTGGGGCCACTTGCCTCCCTCACAGGCAACCCGGGCCACTGGCAGCAGGAGGGGAGCCGCTGTATGGACCAGCTGCCTTGAAAGGATGGATCCTGTCTCCTAACCAGCTCCCAGCTCCCTCCAAAGCGGCTGCACACTGCCTGAGACCTCTGCAGGAGGCCACAGTGGCCATGTGCTTAGGTTCTGTCTCAACACCTTCCCAGTCCTCTACTCCTCACCACTGCTGGAAGCCCCTGGAAGCCTCCAGGCATGTAGGTTTCAGACAGCAAATCAGGCTGCTCTAAATGTGACGTTTCCGTGGAATGCCCTGATCCCCCGGCAGAGATCCTGGCATGTCTCCCCACCCAGCAGAAACACAGCTGCTGCTGGGAGGGCTCAGGCTGCCCAGGACGGACAGCCCCAGACATACAGCACCATCGGCGGTCCCTGGAGATCCCTCTCTGGGTGGCGCCCTTACCAGTCACTGCAGCATGGTCTGGTCTGGGTGTCTGTCACTGTGGACAAAGGACCTGGGGACAACCTCCAGGTAGCTCTGGCCTTCCTTGGAGCCGTGGCCGCTGCACAGCTCAGCTGCTCATCTGGGACCTCAATGGGAGAACAACTTCGAAAACAGAATCTGTCAAACAGGGGAAACACCTGGTTAACACAGCCCAAGTTTGGCAGGTCTGCTGGGGAGCGGTCACAAGCAGCTCCACCACCCCTCAGATCCCCCACAGGGCTCTTCAGCCACCCAGGGGAGCCGGGTTAGAGGGGCTCCCGCAAGGCACACATCATGGCCATGGGGAAGCTTCTTGGCTCTTGGAGCCTGTGACATGCCCCTGGCCAGGGAACGGCCTGAGCCTAGGAGGTTGAGGCTACAGTGAGCTGTCATCGTGGCCACTGCAGCCTTGGCAGCAGAGCGAGACCCCATCTCTAAAAAAAAAAAAGGAAAACTTTAAAAAATGTCCTTATTATAATCCAGCCATGAGTGGCTCCTTCTGTGGGAACTGCTTCCTTGGGTCTGATGAGACATTCAGTGGTCACGGTGGCGCCTGTCGCTGTATTCAGTGGTCCTGTGGGCTGGTGGCTCCTGTACACGGCAGTGCGGATGAGGCATTCGCACTGTCGCGGGGAGTTCTATCAGATGGAGATGGCCTAGGGAGGGAACAATGGAAAACATGCCAAATCCACTGAAAACCAGAGTGATGCCAGGCGGGGAGGGCCAGGGAAGCCCCTAGGGAAGGCAGGAGTCTTCCTGCAGCCTCTCTGGTGTGGGGCGTGGCCGGGTGCGACCAGTCAAGGGCATAGCCACCTTCACCCACACCTGGCAAAGCAAAAAGACCAGGCCACTCTCCCAGGCCAAGCCTCACAGGGCCCGTTGGCTAACTGCCCCAGTGTGCACAGGTAAGGCTGTGTATCCAGGCCCTGCGCCCACCTCAGGACTCGGCTGCGGCCTGGCATCCCCTGTGGGACACACAGAGCCCCCAGACCTTGGGATCAGAAGCCCGGTCTGGGAAGCAGTGCTCCACACCAAGCTTCAGCCCTGGGTTTGGTAAAACAAGTGTCACCCTCCTAAGCTTTTCAGGGGCACACATTTTAGTAATGATTTCACGAACTCTGCCGTCAAAAACAAAACCCCAAAAGTTTGGTGAAACAGTTCCACAAAACTCTACAATGGATAGCTTGTTACCTAACGGAATCCAGAGTTTTCCTTTATTTTCTTGAGACGGGGTCTTGCTCTGTCACCCAGGCTGGACAGCAGTGACAGAATCATGGTTCACTGTAGCCTCAACCCCTCCCCAGCCTGGGTTCAAACAATCCTCCCCGTTAAGCCTCCGGAGTAGCTGGAACTAGAGGTGAGCGCCACCATACCTGACTCATTTAAAAATCTTTTTTGTAGAGATAGCGTCTCCCTGTTGCCCAGGCTGATCTGGAACTCCTGGGCTCAAGCGATCCTCCCACCTGGGCCTCCCAAAGTGTTGGAATTACAAGTGTAAGCCACTGCACCCAGCTGGTTTCCCTTTAAGTGATACTTTCTGGCCATAATAACTGCCTGGGAGGAAATCGTTGTCATCTTCACGTTGTTAGAAGCCTTTGCAAGTGAAAAAATGAGAAACGTGAACTTCCTCCCTTCACACAAGCTAAGGAAGCCTTTACAAAGAAAAGATTCTAGAATAACATGAATAGCATGTCTCTCAATCTTCAAACTGGTTTGTGTTTTAGAGACAGAGTCTCACTCTGTCACCCAGGCTGGAGTGCAGTGGTGCAATCACAGCTACTGCAGCCTCGATCTCCTAGGCGCACACCACCACGGCCAGCTCACTTTTAAATTTTCTGTAGAGATGGGGTCTCACTCTGTTGCCCAGGCTGGTCTTGAACTCCTGGGCTCAAGTGATCCTCCTGCCTTAGCTTCCCAAAGTGCTGGGATTACTGGCGTGAGCCACTGCACCTGGCCTCACACGGTTTTTTTTGAATAAATAAGAACTTTGGTTTTATTTTTCTTCCAACCTTTTTGTGTGTGTGTGCATCTCCCCCTGCGGTGGATCGCGCTGTGCTTGCTCACAGCCCTGAGGCCTCTCTCCTTTCAGCAGCGTCAGAAACACTACCCCAGCTTTATTCTAAGACTCTGAACTAGGCCAGGTGGAGGGGCTCACGCCTGGAATCCCGGCACTTTGGGAGGCCGAGGCAGGTGAATCACCTAAAGTCAGGAGTTTGAGACCAGCCCGTTCAACATGGTGAAACTCCATCTCTACTAAAAACACAAAAATTAGCTGGGTGAGGTTGCGGGTGCCTGTAATCCCAGCTACTTGGGAGGCTGAGGCATGAGAATCACCTGAACCCGGGAGGTGGAGGTTGCAGTGAGTCAAGATAGCATCAACGCACTCCAGCCCAGGCTACAAGAGCAAAACTCCGTCTAAACAAAAAAACAAACTCTGAATGGGCCAGTCAGCTGAATGCAACCTCCACCGGCCTGCATAGCAGTGTCCCGGTGACTGCCCTGCTGACAAATCCTTGCTTGTTAGCTAGGCCACCTCCCCACGGCAGCTTCCCACAAGGGGAACCCTGGCTTCAGGGGCTACTTCCCCAGCATCACAATGAGTGTTTGTGGAAACGTTCCCATCTTACAGGAGAAGATGGTTTCTATGGTGCTCTGGGTGATTATTACGTCCTTCAAAAAGGAATAAAACAACTGAGCTTTAAGCAATCACTCCATCAACACATTAAAAAAATAGGTTTAATGCAGGTGGGTCATCTCATGACGAATTTCACAGGCACTGGGGACAGCAGGCGGCCAGGTGCTCAGAGGGCACCAAGGTGCCGCAACTCCCTGCAGCGTTGACACCACACAAGCGGCACTGCCACCCCCTCCTGCCTCCCGCCCCACCTTCACCCTCAGCCAAGAGGCCTGGGTGACTCTGAGTAACACGTTAACAAAAAACAAAGCTTCTTTGAGGAAACAGCGTGACTTAGTGCAAAAGATTCTCTGCAGCAAGAAATGAGGCCCACGCAGGAAAACTCCTGCCCGCCTGCCCAGGGCCTGGACACAGCCCGGGCTCAACGGAGGTCATCCACAGAAGCTGCCAACAAATTAGAGCACGGTTTACGGCCAAAGATTTTTTGCTTTCTCTACCTGATTTAGGGTTTTTCAAAAAGTTTCTCTTCCAGTGGCACACAACTGTCCTCCTGGCTCCTGGGCCACTAGTCCACCTGACAGGGCAGGGTCATAAGTCCCACCCATGCCCGGAGTGTGTGGACATGGATTTGGGGTGACACTAGGGTTGTCAGTACCACACCCTGTGTCCTGCTTTAGGGCAGCTCTGCCTGTTGTCCCTGTAACCATTATTCAGGGCACCCTCCCACTTGCCCCCAAAGCCACACGGCCATGGGCAGTCCACCATAGTGCTACCGGGACTGCAAGGCCGAGGAGCAGAGCAAGGGGTCCTGGGTGAGACCCCGGCCCATGGTGGCCGCCCTCCCTGAACACAGGCATCTGTGCCCCTCCAGTCCACCTGCCTCTGTGCCATCATTTGGGCCCCCCAGTCACTGGAGGGCAGCGTGGGATAGGATCTCAGCATATACCGGGGGCTCTAAGATGCTGCTGGTACCACACAGGCTCCGGGGCTGTGGTTGCCACATTGAGACCTCTGCCACCTGCTGTGGACACTTGGGACACGCAAGTCTCCATTCCAGCTCACTGCAGCCTTGATCTCCCACGCTTTCTTTGAGGATGTTCCCCCAAAGAAAGAGGCCCAAAGCCCTCCTCTGCAAAAAAAACCCAGAAAGGAATGGAGGTGCCTCCCCAGAAATCCACAGCATCTGAGGACATCCTCACAGCCCTCCCGGAACAGGCAGACAGGCCAGTGTTGCTGGAGTCAGCCCTTGGCTCCCAGGGTTCCCCCAGGCCAGCCCCTGAGCTGAGAGCCTGCTGAGGCCCCTCCCACCTGAGCCCCTCTCTGCCCCCCGCTAGACTGCATCTACACAATCCAAGGAGACCCTGAATGCTGGCTGGGGACTCAGGACCCACACAGCCCCTCAGGGTGACAGTGGTACGAGGGCAGTGCCAGGACTCAGGCGGCCCAGGGCAGAGTAAGCAGCTTTGTGGCAGTGTGGTGTGTCAGCGAGGGGAGCCTTCCGTGTCCCATCGGCTGGGGCTGAGACCAGGGAACGCAGGAAGGGACCGTGCAGCCAGGATGGCCCCCCCTCCGGATTTGTTCCTGGGCACACAGCCCTCTGTGTCCACAGGCCTCCCAGGGTGATGTCTAAAGTCCCTGGCAGCTGTAGACCTGGAGAGAAGCCCACAGAGAGGCAGAACAGACGGCCCACTCCGCAGTATGACCTGAAGACGTGTGAGCAGGAGCCACCTGCAGGTGGGCGCCGCCCCTGAGAGTGCACATGGGGAGGATGGACGCAGGAAGCCAGCCTAGGGGCGGCATCCGCACCCCCATCACGGAAGTCTCAGCCCTTTCTTCTCTCTCCGTGGGCGCCAGGCAGCAGCGACTGCCTGCGGGATGGGCAGTCCCACCCATGTAAAGAACACAGCCACAGGCCGGGACGATACATCAAGCTCGCGCCCACGGCCCTCACATGTCCACGAAGACCATGAAGCACCAGCCCAGGCCCCCGACTAGCAGCATGGTGACATGGATGCCGTAGATGAGCAGCTCGTTCACCAGGCGGAAGTCCACGCGCCGGCGGCCCAGCAACAGCAGCAGCACCGACAGCTTGCGCTGGAAGCGCAGCAGGACGCGAACGCCCAGGTACTGTAGGCAGAAGAGGGCGGCCAGAGCACCCCAGAGCGCCGCGGTGAACAGGCTGCAGCTGAAGTAGAGCAGGAAGCGGATGAAGCCGTACAGCCAGCGCGTCTTGATATACACGTCGAAGTTGTTGTACTTGGTACGGGCCAGGTGGGAGGCGCGCACGGGCCCGCAGGCTGCATGCAGGCAGGTGGTGTGCGGGCCGTGGAAGGAGCGCACCCGCCTCGGGATGGGCATGACCGGCATTGGGCCCTGGTGGCGGCGGCGCTAGCTCGCGGTGGTGGCGGCGGCGTCCAGGCAGCGGTCAGCGTAGGGGTCATGGGCGCCTAGGCCTGGGAGCCGGCCGCTGAGCCTCGCGGGAGGCGTCGGCCTGCGGGGAGAGCCGCAAAACCCATGTCAGTGTGAGGACACTGTGCGGATCCTTCCCCAGGCGATCAGCCGGCGAAGGCGGACACAAACTCCAGCGCCCGGACTAGGGGAAAAGGGAGTCCAGGGCAGGATCTGCGGGCACTCCCAGGCTTACTCTTTTCACAAACCCTCCCAAGGATACTTCCAGGGGGCCCACCACCTGGGGAAGCCAAAGTGCTTGTTCTAGGGCAGCACTGGGGAAGGGGGGCCTTCGGGGCAGCGGCCAGGGGAGGCCCCCGGAGGTGGTCAATGCCAAAACGGATGGGAAGGGGCAAGAGTGGCTCTTTCCCGCAGGATCCCCGCAGCCCCCCACAAGCTGGACCACCCTCTGCTCTTAGGCAGTTTGCCTGTTACTGCCCTGGTCTTCCGTGGCTGCCTGACCCAGGGCTGACACAAGCCCTTAAATGGTGCAAAAAGCCACCACAGGGCCGGGAAAAGGGACTCACAGATGAACCGAGAACGAGCCCGGCGGGGGCAGGTGACTCCAGCAACCTGACAAGTGCTGGGGGCCAGATGGACGGCTGGGGGGCCCTGGGGTCACCTTGCTGGGCCTGAACCCTGGCACTGTCCTTCCCTAGCAGTGACCTTGGGCAGGTCACCTGACCCCAAGACGGCTCCTGCTCTGTCCAATGGGGGTGCCAATAGCACTGCCCTTGCGAGTAGCTGTAAGGGGCTGGGCCTGGCGTGCACAGTGGAGGCACAGCGCCCAGGCCCCCGTGTGGGGTCGGCCCGGGGTCTGGCAGCGGCCCTACAGACTGGGCTGCTAAGAGCAGACGCGGCATTTGGCTCTCTAGCTTCACCTAGTAAATGCCGTTTATAGCTTGCCTAAATAATCTGTAGACGGAATGAACTCATAGGTCAGGAAATAAAATCGGAGTAGGAAAGTTGGTAACACTAAGGGGACTGTGGCCAAGAGCTTCGCCTGCCGTCAGACAGATTCAGCCTGGGGCCCTGCCGTGGGGACCTGCCCGGAGCGGAAGCGGGAGGGGCCGGGCCGCCTGACCCTCCTGTGACCGCAGGGGCCCGTCCTCGTCCTCTCCCTCCGCCCGGCTCCTCCACGCGGTGCAGGAGCCAGAGCGGCCCGGTTTAAGGCCGGCCTCGGCCTGGAGATCGCCGCGGCCGGGACCCCAGCCATGGCGGTGCCCCTCAAACGCGGCTCGGCGGGGCTGTGTCCCCGCGGGGTCTCACGGCCCGCGGCTCCAGCCGAGTCCCCGTCTTTCTGCAGACGCCCGCTCGGCCCGGCCCATGGACCCAGGACCGTTTCCTCGGGGCCGCAGAGACGCGACGGGCCCCGGCAACGCCTCGTGAGCACCGGGCCTGCGCCGCGCCGGGCCCCCTAGCTGCAGAGCCCCTGCCGGAGCCACTTCCGGGTCCCGCGCCGCGCGTTGCCCTGGAGACGGCCCCCGCCGAGGCCGGGTCCCCGCCCGCCGCTCACCCGGTGCCCTCTCCGCGGCGGCGCTGGCGTCCCGGACCTCGGGGCCGGCCGGCGGTGCTGGGGGCCGGGCCTGCGGGCGCCCCTGTCCCTCGGGGCTCCGTGCGCAGGGCGGCCGCATGGTGCCGGGGCGCGCGGCTGGGGACGCCGGCGGGGCGGCTGCGGGCGTGGTTCACGCGTCCCCGGGGAGGGTCGCCCTGCGGGTGAAGGGGCGCCCGGGCGCGGCCGCCGGAGGCGTTTGGCCCAGCGTGGGAGCCGTAGCGCCGTCCCTCGACGGCCACCGTAGGCCGGCCTCACGCCCCCTCCACCCGCGCCGACCGAGCCGCGCTTCCCTTCCCCCTGCTCCGTGCCCGCTCTGGGCGTCCGGGACTCGACGCTTCCCGAGGCGCGCGTGCGTGCATGCGTGCGTGCGCACGCTGCGAGCAGTCCGCAGCGCTGCCTCCCCCGAACGCCCTCGGGGTCGCGCCTGGTCTTGCGCAGGCGCAGATGGCTGGCCTGAGCCTGCCGTTCCTGGGCCGCGCCTCCGTGCCCGAGGAGGGGCGGTGCGCAGGCGCGCTCCCGTGGAGCCGTCCTTTGGTCCCAGAAGAGGGCTTGATCCTGGTAGTGGCCCCGGCCTGAGGTGTCTGCGACTCGGCGCGCTGATGCCGGTCGCTGGGGTGGGGCCGGGCCCCGGAGGAAGCCGCCTTCCCGGCGGAGATGGGTGGCCCAGGGACCGGGAACAGGTCTGGTCCTCGCGGGACCGTGTGCGAAGGCGCCCTGCGAGGCTCGGGTCTGGGGCTGGGAGGACGGGGCGGCCGCGGGAATGGGGGCGCCCCCCGGGCTCCGGGAGGGCGGGGAAGGGGGGGGCGGCCGATGCCTCGCGGACCCGGGCGGCAGGGAGCGGGTGGGTGGCTGCCAGGCCTGGTGGGCCAGCGGCGACTTCGGCAGCCGAAGAGGGGACAGCCCCGGAGCGCGAGCAGGCCCAGCAGCAGCCCCAGGGCCCCCCCAGTGAAGGAAAGGGACTTGTGTTAGTGTCCCCACGCCTGGTTCGTACAGGCTGGCGGGTGTCCTGGGGGTTTCCAGCGAGGAGTGTGTTGGGGAGCGCTCCTGGGTGTGGCTGCTGGGTGGGAGGGGAAAGCAGGGTCAGCAGGCCCTGGGGCGACCGGAAAGTGGGTGGCCCTTCTGAGTCATGGCTCTGGAGCAAGGGGGCTGGGCCCTCCGGCCCACCAGGCCCGTCATTGGCTACAGCGAGCTGGCTCCTGGACCCACGTCCTTTGGACCAGGGCCAACCTGAGGGCTGGCGCAGCTACGTTCTCCACTGTGGCCCCATCCTCGCCACTGGAGAGAGAGCCGCCTTTACTCCTGCATGAGCAGGAGTTCGAGGAACATCTGGACGAGCAAAGGGCACCAGGAGGTAGCACAGCAAAAAAGGCCAAGAGCCTGTTTTCTTTACCGATGGCTGGCGGCAAATATTCCAAAAGAAACAGGTGTCAGGCAAGAAGTGTTGGTTCACGGCGGTCATTCCACTGCTTTGGGAGCCGAGGCAGGGGCATCACTTGCCCCAGAAGTTTGAGACCAGCCTGGGCAACATAGTGAGACCCCTGTCTCTACAAAAAAATTAAAATCAGTAAACAGGTCTTCCTTCCTCAATAGCCCCGTTGCTGGCTCACCTCTCTGCCTCTCCAGATGTTTAGCTATTGGGGTAAGGCTGGGCGTGGTGACACACCTGTCGTTCCGGCCTCAGATCTCTTGTGCCCAGGAGTTTTAAGACCAGCCTGGGCGACATGGCTGGCAACATGGCCTCCACAAAAATAAACATTTTAAATATATAAACATTGAGATAATAAAAAGCATCTTAATGCCTGCCTTCATTTTTTGTCTTCTGTTTTAAGGACCATTAGAGACGAACTAACTAAAGAGAATTCTCCCTTTCATGCAGCTCATGCTGGGACGCCGGCACTGTAAGACAGCTCCCGTGGCCAGAAAGAGGGTGGTGTGTAAACCGGGTGGTCACCCATCACTCGGCTTCTCGAGTGCTGGTGAGGGTGGTCGCCTGTCCATGGATCGGGGCTCCCACCTGGCCCATCTGGTGCTGTGCCACGGGAGGGGCAGAGCCACAGCCCCCAACTTGCTGTGCGTTTCCCGTGTCCTCCCTGCCCTGCAATCCCCTAGCCCCAGCTCTGGATTAGATGCCCCCCGCTTCCTGCTGCACCCGCCCAGAGAAGCGCAGCATGTGTGCCTGCCCTTGCCCCCATGCTGTTACCCTGCTCTGGGTACCAAGGACACAGGCACAGCAGAGCCCCCACCCTCAAGGCACCTGCCATCTTGTGAGAGGGACAGGCTGAGGGGCAAATGACCGGAAAGGGTGGCAAGTGCCATGTCGGACATATGGCCTTCATACAGGGGACGTCCCAGGACTGCTGAGCCAGAGACCCCTCCTTGTGGGTCAGCATCACCCAAGCCAAAGGCCAAGGAGGTCCCTTGGAGGGGGGTGGCCATCAGAACAAAGCTGCCAAGGAACAGACCCTTAAAGGAGTGGCCAGCTAGTGAGGCTGTGACTGGCCCTGGCTGCATCCAGACCCTAGAGTGTCCTGCAGCCAGGGGCAGACACAGGTTTTGTGGGGCCTGAGACTTCTGTGGTCAAGGCTTCTGTGGTTTGAGGGACTTTTCTTAAGAAAATACAAAATTAGGAACAGGCCTTGAAGCTTCTGTTGCCAAACTTAGGGTCAGGTGAACCCACTGCCAACTGTGCCCAGAAGACAGCCCCCCAGGCTGAGTCAAAAGTGGTTCATAGGCCGGGCATGGTGGCTCATGCCTGTAATCCCCGCACTTTGGGAGGCCAAGGTGGGCAGATCACGAGGTCAGGAGATCAAGACCATCCTGACTAACACGGTGAAACCCCGTCTCTACTAAAACAATACAAAAGAAAAAAATTAGCCAGGCGTGGTGGCGGGCGCCTGTAGTCCCAGCTACTGGGGAGGCTGAGGCAGGAGAATGGCATGAACACCGTAGGCAGAGCTTGTAGTGAGCCGAGATCGCGCCACTGCACTCCAGCCTGGGCGACAGAGTGAGACTCTGTCTCCAAAAAAAAAAATAGTGATTCACAAAATCACGTCTAGTATGATCCCTTGTCAGCACAAACATATTCTTAGATGTCTGTTTCTGGGTGAAGTCCTAGAAGCAGATAAATGTTTGCAGAGGTGATGTGTGTGTGGTGGGATTAGAGAGATGAATATATTTTACTTTCTTTTTTAACATTTCTGTGACCAAAAAACAAAAAACAAAACAAAACAAAACTGGATTTGGACAAATAAGAAGTGCATATCAGCCACAGTGGCCTGAAACATGTTCCTGTAGTAGAATCTTCGGGAAAGCTGGGGCCCTCACTCACCAGTACCTTAGGCTGGGCCCACAGTCACGTGCTTCTCCCTACAGGAGGGTTCTGTGTCCTGAATTCCAAAGGTGCAGCTGTCCCCTTGTCACCTTGTCTGTGTTGATGGTTCCACACTCTCTGGTCGGCCATCTGCCCCACCAGTCTCTGCTCGCCTCTGGATGGGGATGGCCAGCTGTGAGGTTGGCTTCCCGGGCTGACCCTGCTGCCTGCTGCCCATTGCTGCCAAGGTTGGGATATCACTTGGGGTTTGGGGTGAGGGGACAGTGATGGGGAGCCCTGGTTGCCCTTTCCAGGAGAATGAGAATTTCAGTGCGGAGTTGTTTATTATTCGACTTCAACAGAGGCGCCACAGTCAGGGAAACGCTCACACGCCTTGGGTCATAGGGCAAGTCCCGTCTGTCTGCTTTGAATTTTGGTTTGGAGAATCTGCAAGCCCCACACGTGTGGAAGCACCTGTGCCCCAGGTGTGGGTTCTGGTCTTGGTCGTGTTCGAGGCTGGACGGTCTCCTTGAGGCCGCCCCTTGGCACCCTTCACAGAAGACAGTGAGGGTCGCCCTTCCCTGGCTGACCCTCCAGAACGGCCAGCCTCCCCTAACTCCCTGTGAAACCAGGGTGCAGGGCGGGAGCCTGGACCCCTTTGCAGTTGCTTTTTCTCTCTCTCTGTCCCTCCTCCATTTTCCAAGCTCCTACTCGCCCTTCAGGACCCAGCTCGAATGCCCCATCTCTGGGAAGCTCCTTCAATCTCGGCCTGCCCCTTCCGTCACACACCCTGTCCCCAGGTGGTGAGGGACATCTGACTGTCTCCTGCCTCCCCCTCCTTCACACGCAAAGCCGCCCCCGCCTGTTGGTGGCCTGTGTCTCCGCTGGCCCAGTGCTCTCTTGCTGTGGCCACTGTGGGTTTTGGCCTGGTGACCCAGTCCACGCGTGCACAGTGCAAGTAGCTTCCCAGGACACCGATTTCCTCCCCGGCCACGGCTGTTTCTGGTCTTTTGCCCACTCCCTGAGCTCTGCACCCGTGGCCTGGCCACAGCTCAGCCACCCCAGGACCACCGTGTGCCGGGGATTTGCCGCAGGTTTGCCCTGGCGTGTGAGGTCCAGCGGGGTCCCCATTAGCTTTCCTGTCCCCGTCCCTGTCCCCTTCCGGCCTCCCTCTGCGCTGTGGGCAGTGGCTTGGCGCCATCTGCTGGGCTGGTGCCTGTGGTGCCACCAAGCGCAGGAGGGACCAGGCGGCTCCTGGTGGGACCCGGTGGCTCCAGGTTTGTGGGAGACTTTAAGTTGGGGCCGAATGTGGCGCTTGCTGCCAATACAGAGCTCGCAAGCTGGACGGGACCCCCTGGCCACACAGCTGAGAACACCTGTTGTCCTGCCTTTGCAGGGACAGCGAGGCAACCCCTGCCTGGAAGGAGCACTTTCCCCACCGAGGCCGGCCCGGGGCGCGTGCGGAGCAGGTGTGTTGAATGGGTGGAAAGAGTACAACCCCTGGTTGTGGGACAGGTTGAAGCCCACCCCTGACCCCTCCAGTACCATCCCTCTGTCCCTCCACTCGCTGGGGCTGGGGGCCGAGGATGCGGTCACTGTGGGCACTTGATCCAGCTGGTTGACTTCAGGGTCCCGGCAGGGAGTGGCTCTTGCTGCCAGGACAGTGGAGGCCTAGAGAGTCCTATCTCTAACACCAGCCACCTTGCCGGAGGCCTGATCTCTGACACCAGTCACCTTGCAGGGTTCGGGCCAGGGAAGGGGAAGGGATGGGAGAGAATGGACGCCTCCAAGGTCATTTTAACTGGTTGTTGGACAGGGCCAGTGTGACTTCAAGTTCAGTGACAACCCCTGTCTCCATGTCTCTGGGATGGGGTGGGGGCCTGTGGCCCCACTGAGCTGAGCCACCCAGGAGGCTGGGGAAGGACACGCAGTACACACAAGCCCAGCATCCTCCGGCTGCACGGACATCTCTACCCAGGCCCTTCTGCAGCCACCTCCCCACTTACCCAGCAGGAGACCAAGCCAATTCTTTTCTGCGAAACTGGGCTGGCCTCTGTGACTGTCCTGCAACCAGACAGAGGAGGCCTGAGGGACTCTGCACGGTTTCTGGGCTGAGGCAGAAGCAGCCCCGTGGCTAACCCTCCGCCTCCTGCATGCCGCCTCCTCTTAGCTCTTAGCGCCTGCTGGGAGAAGCTGGCCCCAGCGTGGACAAGCCTCCAGGAGACCGGAACACCCACCACCCTGTGCCTTCCCAACTGAGCCGCAAACAGCGTGGAGCAGAAGAGTCCTGCCGGGCCCTTCCCTGGAGACTCCTTGAGTGTAACCAAATGGTTGCTGTTTTGTGCCTCTGAGTCTGGGGTGGTCTGTGATGTGCCCAGACGGCTTGAGTGGAAGAACGTGTGGCTTCAAATCCTCATAGCCACCTTCAGGGGAAATGGCCTTGCCTCCCCTGGCAGATGTTCCCACGTCAGGTGGACGTTTTATTCGCCACAGAAAGAGCAGACTGTATTAATGGAGGGCTGTGCAGAGTGACCCAGAGCAAATACTCCAGACCCAGCCTGCCACTTCCACCGTGGCTCCACCGCTTCCTCACCGTGGGCAAAATCTCAGCCTTTCTGGGCCTCAGTCCCTTTGTCTATAAAGTGGAGATAAGGACACACAAGCATCAGAGGGATGTTGTGGGAAACAGCTTTGCTGGCCTGCGTGGAGCCTGCAGAAGAGGGCCTGTCCCCTGCTTATGGGGAGCCAGCCCCCAAGGTGGCCCATGATGGCTCCTTGCCCTGTGTGAGCCAGAGGGCAAGGCAGGAGGGTGGTGTGACTTCGAGGCCAGGTCACACAATCCCTCAAGGCTTCCATCTTGCTGACTCGGATCACCCATGGGAGAAGCTGAGTGAGTGCATGACAGCTGCCATGTTGTAAGGATGCTCAAGCAGCTCTGGGGGAGGCCCTCGTGGGAGGAACTGAGGCCCCCGCCAGTGGCCAGTGCCAACTCACCGGCCGTGTGGGCGAGCCCCTCGGAAACAGACTTTCCAGCTCCTGCTGGGCCTCTACAGGGCTGCAGACCTGGGGACATCCTTTCTGCAACCTCATAAGCGACTCTGAGCCAGACCCTTAGCTTGGCCATGGCTTGATCCTGACCTACAGACCTGGGCAAGATATGAAGTGTTGTTAGGGTTTGAATTGTGGTCCTCCAAAATCATATGTTGAAATCCTAATCCCCCAGCACCTCAGAATGTGACTACATTTGGAGACACTCTCTTTAAAGAGGTTACTAAGGTAGGCCAGGAGCAGCTCATGCCTGTAATCCCAACACACTGGGAGGCTGGGGCCAGAGGATCACTTGAGTCCTGAAGTTCTGAATCAGCCTGGCAACACAGCCAGAACTTGTCTCTACAAAAGAAAAACAAAGAAAGAAAGAAAAAGAGACAGGGAGGTGATGGTGTGGGGGTGAGGGGGGAGAAGAGAGAGGAAGGAAGGGAGAGAGGGAGGGAGGAAGGG